ACCCCAAAAAAACTTTGGCGGGCCCGTACGCTGGTACCACGCGGGTTTTGGCGCCCATTTTGGGGACTGGGGGCGGTACGTGCATGTAGGTTAAGTCCCCGAAATTTCAGCCCCGCAGCTTTTATAGGTCCTGAGATGAAAGGTATGGCATAGCAAAATTCGAAAATTTTTAAACGCACACACAGACGCACAGGCGCACAGACACACGGACACGCAGACAACCTCTCGTCGATATGCGTTTTTCGCATTGCATTGCTGCAAAAAACGCATAAAAAGCGCATAAGAATGACGCTACTGACACTGGCGCTGCAGAAGCAGAGAAAACGTTACCTGTGACGTTATCAGAAAGGATGCGCGACGTGATGATTTGTCCAAATGGCTTGAAAAGTGCCTCCAAATCAAGCTGGCTCATTGACTTTGCAAGGCCACTCACATATAAATTTGCGCCTTTGATTGATTCGCTGCTTGGACGTGCAAACGATACCTGTAATGAAAATTTTGAGGGGGAAGCTCAGATGCAGGAAGCTTCTTGACCTGCATGCTTGACAAGCGATCGGACCGAAGTGAGATTTGAGAGGGAGCTGGTTTCAACGTTTAAGAATTTTCGAATTTTGCTATGTCATACCAATACAGCATTGCTGTCTCTCACAAATGCTGCGCACAAGAGATGCCGACAGCATTTCACACCTACATGAGTATAACCTGACCAAAGAGATATCTAAATGAGTAAAAAAAAATACAATTTTGCGCATAAATGAAAATTTTAAATGGGCTACATCAAAATTACACCGATTAAATCAGTGCGAGGTTAACAATACGATCAGGGAGGAGTAATTCTTGTTAAAAACACTTCTCCGCCCCCTCTCCATCGGTCTAATTTTGCTGGAAGTGAGGTAAATGCAAACAAGTCATATAAGCTATGTCATTTTTATTAAAGTACGCTAGAGTTGCCACAGAAAAAAGATCTCTGAAATAGGCACTCCAGTAATATAAAATTTCAAAATCCCCGGGAAAACCTGTCACTCAATGCGTCACTGCACAGTTCCGAGGATTTGGTTACACAACACACAATCAAAGCCAAACCATAGAAGAATGGTCTCTGGACTAAAAACAGCATTAAGATCTCATTTTAAAAAAAAGTCTAACTTATAACATACGTAAACACACGTACATACGTGTATATACACGCATACACACACACACAATCCATACACACGCATGCGCATACACACAGAAAATGGAATACAGGGTTCCTCTCACCAAATTTAACCTACACACTTCACGGCTCACAGTAATTATGAAAGAACTGAAAAAAGTTGGTTATCGCAAAGTTGTGTTAACAACTACCGGAAATATGTACATGCCAAAACTTTAACCTACAATAAACTTGCTCTCTGTGCCGCGTGACCCAAAACCGAAACACAAATCCGATCCTAAGGCACAAATCGTTTAAACTACCCACAAACTCTTACTCCTCTGCTTTTAATTTCTATTTCACGTTGAATGCCCCCAATTCATAATCAGCGTATTTAGCGCATACGGCTAGCAACACTTCGAAAACTGATGAATTAGTTGTTTTTTCCTCTAGCGAGTACCACTCACTGACATGTAACATCGGCCGGCTGTCAGCAAAGTAAGCAATACGTGCTGCTCATCGCATTTTACTTTCTTTCAAAGCCACAGTGGAATTGTGGCGAACCACTGTACAGTCGTCTTTTAGGGCCAGCAGCTACCGTATGTGGAAATGTCCAAACCAGCAGACTCCGATTTTTGAAACATTCAAAAATAATCACAAAATGACGAAAATTCGGGAAAGCAACTAGAAGAGGAAAAAGCTAGCTGGAAGCAAACCAAGAAAAATCGAAAACGCACACAGAGACACAAAAGAAAGGGAAGAAATCAGGAAAAAAGCGAACCTTGATAGTTTTGTTTTGTAACCTGAGCCCATTTAATGAAGTGACAGCCTTGTAGGCATCCTCCTGACGGACATAATTAACAAAACCATAACCAAGACTTTGACCTAAAAAAAATTACAAAACTGAAATAATAATAATAATAATAGGAATAATAATAATGATAATAATAATGAGAAAAACCAACAACACAACAGGGGACAAAGGTCAAAAAAAACACATACAATCAAAACCCCGTCCCCCTTCTTCCCCGTAATTCACTCTCGTTGAGACCATTAGGTAGCAGGAAGTGGACTATGAGTGATAGCATTTTGCCTACAGCAATTCTCTGCTGACCAGATTGTCAACGGTTCCCTCTTTTGAGACACTTGAGAACAATATGCGGGCTTATCAAAAATGTCAAGACCGCCCGAGCTATCAGTTTGGTTAACCATTTTACTGCGAAGCTCTCAGTTGCCAGATGCCTGTGCCCCCTCCTCCTCCCTTTCTCCGTGTCAAAAATCCAGTAACTAATAATAATAATAATAATGATAATAAGAAACATGAATAGAAGAACAAAGCTGAAATAAATATTAAACAGTCAATTTTAAAAATAAATTAAAGAGAAAAAGAAGAAAGCAACTAAAATTCAGGATGCTTGCGTTCACAGAAAAAAAAAAAAAAAACAAAAACATTCTCGCGTTTGTAGCTGCAAGAGGAAAAAAGAACAAATAAATTAAAATAGTAACACGAAGTAGGAAAAGAATGCCACATTAGTATTGAATGCAAATCCATCCTCCCACTCTTGCACCGTTCTGTGAAACAAACAGCAGCAGTGAAAGCTAGATTTGGTCAAAATACTTCGAAACTCTCCAAAAAACAGCCAAGCCGCTTACTCCAAAAAAAACTCCCAAAAATCTGACCAACGAACATTACTGAATACCAAAAGCAACCACTCGCCGGCAAGACAATCGTGAGAGCACCATTCTCTTTCGAGGGCTGCTTAAATACAAGCTGATGGTGGTTTCAACTCCCTCACAGACAGTTTTTCAGCTACTGAATCGTCAAAACAACTCAAGCAACGCCTGTGAAGAATTTTGAGATGCAGCGGTATGACAAGCGTAGCTAAGACAAGTCACTCTGTTCTATTCAACACGTCAAAACAATCATAGGCGGATTCAAAACGGCCTCGTGAGGAGGTGGGAGGGGCTGGGCCGGGGAGGGGGGGGGGGGGGGGGGGGGGGGGGGGGGGGG